GGGCTCCTCGGAGCCAGCTGCCCGGGGCGACAGAGGCCGGGGCTCTAGCGTGCAGTGTAGCGCAGGGTTACGGTGAGGAGTAGAGCGGGGCTCGGGGGGCGCTGGCACCTCTGGGCCGGTTCTTTCGCCGCCGCTGGCGCGGCGAAGCCCTGGTGCGCAGCCACCGTCTGAGCACTCCAGGGTGCCGGGGCGCTGAGGTATGGTTAGAGGGGTCACGAAGAAAGCTTTCCTGTTTCTGTAGGGCCTTTCTTTCGTCTTGGGGACAACTCGTAAAAGAGCCGTGGCTGAGGGGGAGAGCGGGAGGGCGGCGATGACACAGACAGCCACGAACGGGTGCGCACCCCTACAGAGAATAAAGTTCTTTTTTTCTTTCCCCCTTTAGGTTCCGGCCCTTTGTGCCGCACATCCCCTTTGATTTCTATGTCGTGAGTAATTGTATCCTACCGAGCTGTTTGCAGGCAGCAGCTGTAGGACTTTTGTTTGTTTAAAGATGCCGTCTTAAAATCTTGTTTGTTGACTTAATTTGATGGTTTAACTTCTTTTAGCTTTACTCCAGCTTCTTTTAGCTGGAGTAGAGAAGCCCACTGAAAACGTGAACAGCTCTTGGTTTGGTAACTAACTTGAAATATACCTACTTACCCTCACTGTTGGTTCGGATTGTTTGAAGTACGTTCCACCCTGGATGCGGCTAAGGAATCACGATTACAACACATAATGCCCACAAGTTTACTGCTTTTTAAGGCACCCGCTCTCCCAAACCCTCAATTCTGTCAAATCTGTCTGTAATAGGAACATTTTAAATTACTTTGATAGCTGTCACTCACCTTTCAGATGTTCTCCAGGCTCCTCTGCAGTGTCAGTCCTCACAAGGACCAGCAAGCCTGTCTCGCCTTTTGTGGAGGGAAGTAGTTTCCTCCTCCTGCTGAGCATCTGTGCTTTAAAGACATGCGACTCTTTCAGGGAAAAGAAGTTTACTTATTCTTGCCTTCCAGATATTATGGCCGTGAACACTGTCATAGCAACTGAAAAGCTCTGGCTATCTGCAAACAAAGTGTGTTACTCTTAAGGCACTCTAGTGTAGCTACTTTGAAAAGAAAAAAAAAAAAAGCACTTGTCTACTTTTACTATTGATTGGCAGAGCCATTCTTTAATTAGATCCACCCTGTCTCACATGCCTTAATTCTTTGGCTTAGAAACTAAACACCATGCTGCACAGAATGTGCCTAAGTGGAATTATACAGGCACTCTAGTGGCTAATGTGCCACTTCTAAAGACCTGCTGTTCCTGTTAGCACGTGAAAGTATATGGCCAGGACTGCCAGCTCTTTTTACTCCTTTAGGATAACGTAAAAGTTAAATTATAAAAGCAATGAACTTAAGAGCATGATTTGGAATCACAAAGGAAACAAGCACCGGAGAATTAAAAAAAAAAGGAAATATTTTATTGTCTTGCTGATGGGCGAGTTGAACCAAAGTCTATTTCATACTTGGGCTGTGCAGTCTGACGTCTGATCCTGTTTCAGTGTGAGATGGCTTTCCCACGTGTAAAACCTGCTGCAGATGAGACCGCGTTCAGTGAAGCCTTGCTGAAGAGAAACCAGGATCTTGCTCCGACTGCTGCTGAACAGGTTAGTAGACCTGTGTTGTTTCACGTTGAACGTTACCGTAAATTCTCTAGCTAGATGTTACTGCAGCATTAGAGAAACCAGAGAGCGCCTATCCTTAGATAGGAGACTACATCTTCTATGGTATTAGTCGTCACTAGCTTAAAAGCAATCGTTTGCCCCCAGAATAGGTACTGCAGTAGAAATATGGGTGGTGTTTCTTGAACAATGGTTTCTAAACGTGCTTATTTTTATCTATTTAATAGTTACCTTACACTGGGGCTGTCTACATTCCACTGTGTGAGATTGGATAATCTTTACCTCAAGATCAATGACCTGGTACTACCCACCCCTCTCTAATTCCTTTTCAGGCTTCTATTCTTTCTCTGGTGACTAAGATAAACAACGTGATTGACAATCTAATTGTAGCGCCAGGAACTTTTGAAGTGGTAAGTCAAACTTCTTTACTTGGTAAAAACCCATCTGGGGGGACACTTCAGCACCTAGGGATACCAGTGTTCTAGCTACCAAAGTTTGTGCTAAGTACAATCACCGTGTTTTTTTGGTTGCTTAGTAAAAATTCGTGCTTTCTCCCAGAGACGTATCACGTGCCATGCACATTAACTGCATTAATTCTTGCTGTGCTCTTTCACCCAGCAAATTGAGGAGGTTCGGCAGGTAGGCTCCTACAAGAAGGGCACCATGACAACAGGGCACAACGTGGCTGATCTGGTTGTGATTCTGAAAATCTTACCCACGTGTGAGTATTATTTACTTTGGTGCTGCTGGCTGAACACAGCAGTTAATCCTGTTCTCACTGCCTCCTCTGCTTCTCCCTAGTGGAAGCTGTGGCAGCCTTGGGAAACAAAGTAGTGGAAAGCCTGAGAGCGCAGGATCCCAGTGAAGGTGGGACACTCTCCTGTATAATATGAGGTAGAAGGGGCAGAGTTGAGGACAAATACCGACATTAGTATTCCTGTTCCCAGTCAACATGGGGACTGTCTTCCTGCCCCTCCGTGAGAAATTCTTGCTCTTTCTCCCCAGTCCTGACCATGCTGACCAACGAGACTGGCTTTGAGATCAGCTCGGCCGACGCGACAGTGAAGATCCTTATCACCACAGTGCCTCCCAATCTCCGCAAACTGGACCCAGAACTGCACTGTAAGGGCTCAGCTCGCTCTGTACTTTACGTGGGAGCGGAGGGGCTTTTACATATGCATTACGGAGCAGGGACAGTCACCGAGTCACCCTAGACGTTCAGTGTGAACCTTCACCGGGAGAGGGGAGCCAGCTGACCTCCCTTTCTCACTCACTTTCTTACTCACTTCCTGGTTGAAAAAACAAGTGTTTCTGCTGCTTCTTTCAGTGGATATCAAAGTGCTGCAAAGCGCTCTGGCTGCCATCAGACACGCTCGCTGGTTTGAAGAGAACGCTTCTCAGTCCACGTGAGTTTGACCTTAAGCAGGAACTGTAGCTCTGAGGCCTGGACAAAATAATCTCCTTTAGAGAGAATTGAGTAAAAAATAAAAAGCCATATGTTTCCCCCCACCTTCAGTGCAAAGGGCCTCTCTCGATATCTGAGCTAACATCACCAGTCACCCATCCCCTGCATTAGTGATACTGAAGGCTCCTTTTAAGCTGGATGGTGACTGAACAGCGCCGTGTTAAATCCAGTTGTAAAGCTGCACCATGCAGTGACATAGATAACTCAGATATCCCAAATCAGTCCCCTTCCACACTTACTGCACGTGGTGGCTGTTCTGCCTGGGTCTTGCTGAACTGCAGCGCTAGCACTGTTTACCTGTTGCTTAGTGCAGTAACTGCCAGGGAAAGGGCAGCGCTTTCCCCGGCATATTGCAAGGAGAGCTCCTGTTCCTGCAGCAGGACTGTCAGTGACACATTATAAACACTTGTCTTGCAATGTTCTCCAGAGTGAAGGTCTTAATCCGGCTGCTGAAGGACTTGAGAATTCGATTCCCTGGTTTTGAGCCTCTCACTCCATGGATTCTCGACTTGCTGGTGAGTGCACGAGGGGGACACTGATGTTCTGCCAGAGGCGTTGTACCTCTGACCTGCAGATTCCCCCACCCGGGTACCTGCACGGTTGCCTGCGTGGCTCTTCCTTCCTCTGCTGTTTTGTAACTGCCTGCACCTCCCTGGGCTCCAGCACAAAGCAGCTGCTTGTAGCTCCAGCAGCAGAAGGTTTTGGGATGCTTACGCTTCCCTTTTATAAGGCCATTCTTGTCCTAACACCCTCTTTTCCCCCCCTCTCTCTTCAGGGGCACTATGCTGTGATGAACAATCCCACCAGGCAGCCCCTGGCTCTGAACATCGCTTACAGGTCCGTCACCCTGTTTGCTTCGCTTTTATGAACTCCTGTCCTGTTAAAAATGAACTCTTCATTTTTAAAATACTGAATAAAAAGCATCGGCATCTCAGGACTTTACAAATTGAAGGGACCTGATCCAGAGACAAGGCAGACTTCACGCACCAATGCTTATCGTGTCTGTCCTTGACTTACCCACTTCACCTGCCGCAGGAGTGAGATTCCTGTCTCACTGCCTCTTCCGTTTTGTCCTGTTTTGCAGCTTTTCAGGCTGCGTTACTGTCGTAGCTGTGGACTAGTTTCTAACATGCAGCATCTTGTCCACAGGCGCTGCCTTCAGATCCTAGCTGCAGGGCTCTTCCTTCCTGGATCTGTTGGTATCACTGATCCGTGTGAGAGCGGAAACTTCAGAGTCCACACGGTTATGACCCTCGAACAGCAGGTGAGCTACTCCGTCTGCTGTGGGAGGTGGGACTAATGTCTGTGTCCCCCCCTCCAAGTCCAGTTCCTGCTAGATAACTGCATCTGGGAATACCTTGCATCCTTACTATGTGGGAAGCAAATTTCCAGAAAAACTGTAGGTTTAGCTTGTTGAAAGCTTTTTGTTTCTGTGGGCATGGGGAAGAACATCACGAGAATCACTGGAGAACCTAGTAGCAGCTTTCATAAGCTAATGCTCCACATCACTGCAGAGCAGAGCATTTCTTACCTGAAGCAGACCTCTGCTGCTGAAGGGCTCGGATCTGGCTAGATCTTTCAGAGGGTCGAGTACAGAATACCAGAGCCTCTGACCTTGTGTCATGGAGAGAAGGAAAACTGAAGAGGGGGAGTCCAGTGCTCTTGTAGCAGAAAGCCTCCCGAGTTGCTAGCTGGGACAGGATGCTGCACGTCCTCTGACTCTCTCATCCCCATACCGTAGGACATGGTGTGCTACACAGCGCAGACGCTTGTCCGGATTCTCTCTCATGGAGGTTACAGGAAAATCCTTGGCCAAGAGGGTGACGCCAGCTGTAAGTACGGTATCCGCAACGCGTGGCTCTTCCTCCTCACAGACTTGCCAACAGCTCTGCCTGGGAGTTTCCTGCGTTGCTCACTAAACCCCAGAAACCAAGCAGAGAGGCCAAGTTTCTGCCACGGGCAGCTGTGCTGCCCCAAAGGGGAGGCTGCTGCCTGAACAGGAGGGCTAGCGCTGCTGGGAAGCAAATGTTTCCTTGCCCTGAAGGGCCGTAACGGCCGTTTGCAGCAAGTAGCAGTTGTTGGAGCAGCTGCTTAGCTTCAGGGCAATTTCTCCTAGCTGGCGATGCAGGGTGTCGTGCTTCCCCCTGCTGGCACCTGCCACAGCTGCACGCCTTGGGACTGGGGCTTGCCCACGCTGCCCAAGATCACCCCGATAGTGCCCAGGGGCTGCGAGCTGCCTGCTAAATGCCACTGTTTGCAGACCTGGCTTCTGAAATGTCCACGTGGGATGGAGTGATAGTGACGCCTTCTGAGAAGGCTTACGAAAAGCCCCCAGAGAAGAAAGAAGGAGAAGAGGAAGAAGAGAATCAGGAAGAAACTGCCACAGGCGAGGAGGAGGAAAGCATGGAGACTCAAGAGTGACTTGCCCAGGTAAAGGCAGTTGTCTGTGTACTGCTGCCTGGGGGTGTCTGACAGCACCCACGGGAGAACGCATGCCTTTCCTCATGCTGTCTGCGCCAGGGCAGCTGCTACTAAAGTAGCTCTGCTGCAGTGTGGGCCTGACAGGGGGAAGCGTCTGGACAGCGCTCCCACTGTAGCAACTTGTTCTCTCCCCTGCAGTTTTGACTCCCCACCTCTGAATGCTGCTGGCTGAGGCACGTGAAGAACTGCTCCGGGAACTTAGCCTCTGCCCAGCGAACGCACCGAGCTGATGTGACCTGTTCCTTGTATTTGTCTTGGTTTTTATAGGTTGACATTAAACTGCTCCTCCTTTTGAGTGTGTTCTATTTGCTCAGGTGGAAGAACCTCCCTTCAAAAATGGGTCAGAAAAGGGTCTGACACCCTGGGCTGGGGGAGGTTTTGGGCCTCAAAGCGTCCCCTGCTCTGAGGGTGCTTAACTGTGGCCCCTGTTCTGTCTGGCAGCACCAACTGCCTGGCTCAGCTTTCACCAAGGCTCATAGGGGCTCAGCCAGATGAGAACTGTGTCCGTCACCCAGCAGTGGCGTTGGAGTCACGCTGCCTCACTCCGTTCATAAGCAATACACAGTCGCTTTTATTACAGCGCCTACAAGCCTCAATACAATACACAGGGTCACCCCCAGTTCGTTACGCTGTAGTCGAAAAGCTGCAGTCTCCATTTGTAGGACTTCCCCGCTCCAGGGCTGCAGACACTGAGAAAAGCATTGCTACAAACGGGAATACCTGCTCCGCTCGGCGGTGGCTCGGTCTGTTCACTGTCCTAAGGCAGGTGCTGGGTTGTGCCTGTCACCAGCCAGGGCAACTCCTGCTCCGACCCAGCTCCCAGCTGAGCTGGGGAGGCTGCCTGGGGGTAGCCCCCCGCCGCCTCCAACATGGCCTTTCTCCGCATGGTCTCCTTGGCCACGCTGTGGTTGAGTCTCCGCAGCCGTTCCTGTGCAGGGGAGCGCCGGCTGTCAGGACGTGGGGCAGAGCTCGCCTTCCGCGCCCTGGGGCTGGGATCCCTCCAAGCACCCCAGCCCTTCCACCCCGCAGCTCCCCCTGCCCGCGCTGCGCCCCTCAAAGGGACGAGTCTGCCTCTGTGCGGCACCCGCGGGCCCTGGACACGCACCGGGAGGCCAGCAAAGCTTCCCAGCATCCACTCGCCGCC